ATTTACAACCTAATCGCAGCCTATGTTAATACATACATACGTACATATCGTCGTTTAAAGTGCGAAACTGCGTATCAACAAAATGCAAACCCCTGTATCAAGATAATGCAAAACCGCGTATGTGAAGTTGCATAAATTATTTTATAGGGAGTAAAAACGTTTATATTTCAAAATGGTTCTCTTTTTTATAAAGCAATCGCATTTGTGGCTAGTATATTTCAGGACGAATGGATAAGCATTGAGCCAAGAGCTTGTGTGAGCAAATCCAATCTTTGGCAGCCAATGTCAGTTACGCGGTTTTGCAGAATGACGATACGAGGTTTTGTACTTTAAGCGACGATATGTAGATAGAGCCACAGAGACTCAATCTAGGAACTATTTCGCGATTTTAGAGATTTTCCTGATTCTCGGGACTAATCGAATTAATAATCGATATTTTGTCAGTTTTGTGATATTTTTTATCGACTTTGTCATCGATATTTTTATTGATTCAGTTATCGATTTTATAATCGATTTTATTATCGATTTTGCTACCGATATTCGTATCGATTTTGTTATCGATATTTTTATCAGTTTTTTATCGATATTTCTTTCAATTTGATTATCGATTTTGCTATCGATTTTGTTGTCGATATATATATCGATTTTTTGTCGATATTTTTATCGATTTTGTCATCAATATTTTAAATCGGTTTTGTTACCGAAATTTTTATCGATTTTGCTATTGATATTGTTATCGTTTTTGTTATCAACACTTTTATCGGTTTTATTATCGATATTGTTATCTCTTTTGTTATCGACTTTGTAATCGAGTTTGTTATCGACTTTCTCGATTCTGTTATCAATTTTGTAATCGAGTTTTTGATAGATTTTGAAATCGATTTTTAGATAGATTTTGTTATCGATTTTGATATCGATTTTGTTGTCGATATATTTATCGATGTTTTTGTCGGTTTTGTTACCGATATTTTTATCGATTTCGCTATTGATATTGTTATCGTTTTTGTTATTGACATTTTTATCGGTTTTATTATCGATATTGTTATCTCCTTTGTTATCGACTTTGTAATCGATTTTGTTATCGACTTTCTAGATTCTGTTATCGATTTTGTAATTGAATTTTTGATAGATTTTGTAATCGATTTAGATATCGATTTTGTAATCTATTTAGCTATTGATTTTGGTATCGATATTTTTGTCGATTTTGTTATCTGTTTTGCTATCGATTTTGCCATCGATATTATAAATTTTGATAACGATATTTTCATCAATTTTTTTATCGATGTTTTTATCGATTTCGCAATCGATATTATCATCGCTTTTGTTATCGATGTTTTTTTCTTTGTTTGTGCTTTCGTTTTTGACTTGAATATGCTCTTAACCATATTTACCACGTATTCTACGTTTCACACCAAGACGAAGGCGCTGGACTGTTCCTTTTTACGGTCGTTATCGAAAAAAAAACTCCTATAAAAAAACTCCGAAATATTGAACTCACAGAGACGTGTTTTTTAAATTTTTTTGCAGTTAATAAACTATTTGTCGTAGAAAATCAGTTGTTTAATCAAAATGTACGGAACTGCTTCGGCTTTACATTATAGTGTGAGATAGATTTAAGTTTTCAAACTCAATGGAGTGCAATGGAGAACGGAAAACCAAAAATCTTGAAGTTACGAGTTTTTCATGCCTGCGCGCTGTTAAATAATAAAAAAAATATTAATAAATGCAATTTTCTAATGCACAAAATTATTTATTTAAATCTTTCTCTCTCTAAACATGAAAGCCGAGATACTTACGCGCATTTTGATCACTTAACTGATTTTCTCCGACAAATTAGTTTATTAACTGCAAAAAATTTAAAAGATACTTCTCTGTGAGTTCAAAATGTCGGAAATTGTCTTTTCGAGATTGTCGAATATCATGATGAAATAAAAAAATAAGTGTCTTCTTTTTTCGATAAAGAACGCAATAAAAATATTTCACACAAAAAAAAACCTTGAGGTGTAAATTGTATATGGAATGACCCATATGTAAGTATGTTGATGAACTAAACGAGCCAACGCAACTTGGTGTTCAAAAACAGATAAAAGAAAAGCAACGAGTATTGTAATTTTTAGGTGTTCTAAATAAAGTTCCTGGTAAAATATTGTCCATTTTGCGGCAAAATTTTCTTTACAAAATATTAGGGAGCCTTAACAATAAGTGAACTTTCAGAGAAATCATATCGCTTATTTGCTGCAAGAGAAAAACATTTTCTCTTTTTCTATGTTGTGTAGAAATTGCTTAGCTGCATCTGTTAACCATAGCTCATTAGAAGAAAACTTGTCTTAATTTTTATTATGGGAGCGTATGTAAGCTGTAAACTTTATAGACATTTTACCCGAGTTTAAAATTTTTTTGAATTATGGCACTCTTGCAGCAAATGTACAATATAAAAAACTAACCTCTTGAAGAAAAAAATCAAGTTATGGCATAGCTTGGATATAAAATCAGTTATGTTATCAAAAGTTTGGTATTATTTTTAAGAGGAAATTCAATGTATTGTCTATATGTAAATATACTACTATATGATAATGCAAGCTATATTCATACGTAAATATTTTTGTAAATACTTATATAAACTTAATTTTCCACTTGACTGTTCGTATAATTTTAACTGTAAAAATAAATTTAATATTTTATATGTTTTTATGTGTATGTACATATTTATTAATGTACACTAGGGCGGAGTAATTAATTTTCGAAGAAGGTTTATGCATATGTATTCGAATTCTACTTTCGATTAAAAGAAAAAATGGTGAACAAACTATATACCAAAAATGAACTTTAATTTGCTATACACTTTTTCGAAAATTTTGCTCCGAAAAAATTACTCCGCCCTAATGTGCACCCAGTACTTCTCTAGAAATAGCTTGATGCTGGATATACATAATAGTAAGAATAGAAATATCTACAAATTTTTTCAATTCAATTTCGTTTTGAATTTCTTATCGCTTAAACGTCACCTTTTCACTAGGCATTATAATGGCAAAAAAGTGTATCATTTAAAAAAGTCAAGTGTCACATTGTTTGTATGTATAGTATATCAGTGATTTTCAAAATTTTACTTACAAATACAAAGTACAAAAGCTTTTGGGTTTTCATTAGGGTCCGACCGAGCGTTCGGGTTCGGTTGGCGAACAGTTCGGCCATGAAGTTCGGGTTCGGATTCGATTCGGCTTCGGCCAAAATTGGCCGTGTTATTTGACCAAGAAGTAGTAAAGAAATTTTACTTACTTGCCAGTAGCCAAACTTCTGAGAGTAAGCGAACAATTGCTCCTAATGAGAGAACATGCAAGAAAGTACGAAAGCGCAAAACCAGCAAAAAGTTGCAAGTTTTACTAACAGCTGATAAATTTATTATTTTCCGAAGCAACTTTCTAAGAAAAAAAAATATTATTTCCTATCTTGTTATATACTTAAATAGATCTATTTTATCAATCGCAACTATAAAAGCTTCAGATACTTGCAGGTTCAGCTGTCATTTTCGCTCTCTCAATTTACTCTCTTTTGCTGGTTTCTTGCAAGTTCTTGCGCACAAAACCGCCATCCAGTAAAAAACAGGGCTAACTTATTTCAAAATTACTTTGTATAAGAGCATATTAGATGTGGCAATATTTCTAACTTTTCCACGTAATTCGATGTAAAATTGAGAATGGGAATTTTTTTTCCACGGGCTAACAGCCAGACAGAGAACTTTCTGTGACATTTCGGAAATCGGTTTCAGAAATAAAAGTTGAAAAATGTGACTGCAATTGAAAGAGCGAAAATCGATCTGGTAAATATATTTCAACTTGATCGTGCTGCACTAGCGATTCTCATTTCTGCTGCAAGTGCTGTCAAACTAATCGAGTGTTGCCGTCTGAAACTAATCGCTGGTGTGTGCGAAATAATAAGGGATAATATAAAAAAAAAAAAAAAAAATTGAAATGCTTTTAATTAATTACTTTGCGGAATTTAATTGTTTAGTTATAAATAATAAATTAATCTTGAAACAAAGTTAATTACAAATAAGGGAAGCGGCTCACGGTTGCACTTTAGTACATAGTACATTTTATAATTTTCCAATATGTTTTAAGATAAAATACGTTACGCTCGGAAAATACTCATTTGTATTTACATACATATACATATGTATGTATTGTATTTTTAAAGGGCAGTTGTATGTAAATTATTGAATGCATATTTATATGCCTGTAAATTTCTGTAAATAAGTTACTGCATATTTAATGTATACAAAGTGACCATTATCCTGTTTGTGTATTGCATGCCATATGCTGATGCTTGATTGTATTTAGTTGTATGTACATAAATAGTTATTCAAATTTTAAAGAAAAATTTATACGAAAGTATTGCTATAAAATTGCATGGCATGAAAAGTTTCGTTGAGAGTTACACTGTTGTGCATTTGAATGCAACATTTAATTTATTTATTTATATATGCTTTGTTATTTTATGTTTTTTTTTACAGTTACTTAATTCTTTTCTTTTTAACAACCACCACGATTTTCATTAAATAACATCCCACAAATACATTATTCCATAAATCGACAATTGCTTTGTATAAATAAAAAAAAATATAATACAAATTTACTTCACATCCTGCATTCCTTTTGGTATCTTTAAGAAAAATAACTAAACAAATCCCTCAATTTTTTCTCATCACACAAAGCGTGTGTTGAGTGAAAGTTGCATAAATGCGATCGGCCTGATGTTGAATCACAGCCTACCCCCATGCTTTCTGTGTTCACTACATTGTCATACGCTTCATTACCACACGTACTTAAATATGTTCCGAGTGCCTGGTATCACTATGTATTACACAGTTACTATTATTCAAACCATGTAATTATATGTATGTATAAGTTTTAGCATTTATTTGTACTAACTTTCTATTTTATTTCGTTTCGTTCGTTCGTTCGTTTTGTTCGTCTCCTTCTTCTACTCTTCACGTGTTGAAGGTACACGAAGCTGATGCCTGTTTGGTGCTGGCCAATAAATATTGCCAAGATCCCGATGCCGAAGATGCTGCCAATATTATGCGAGTCATCTCAATTAAAAACTACAGCGAAGACATACGAGTGATTATACAACTTATGCAATATCATAATAAGGTAAGTGCATATGTACATATATTAGGGATGTTGCGGATGTAGAATTTTAGACATACGCGGATGCGAATGCGGATGTCAAGTATTTAAAAAAAAATCAATTAGAATCTAGCATAATGGCGAGATCATTGTTTAAACAGCGCTTACAAGCCAAAACTTGTTTCAGAATTTGGAGAACCTGTAACTTTATCAGCACTTTTCGATTTTAGTTTTTGTAATTCATTTTTGATACTTTCTTCTGCGACTGCTTTGAAAAATTTGTGCTTATAGTGAGCTAAATAGGTGGATATGGAAAATAAACTGTTTTCAAAGTCGTGGCTGCCAGCCAGAATATTGTTATTTTTTTAAGCACCCCGTTTTTTATAAGCATTTGAATAACAGATAGTTGCGTAATTCTTATCTAATTAAAGGTTAGACCAATAGCTTTTTAATTATTTGAGCATCGATTCTCTTTATAGCTAGAAGTTGATCACTTCTACTGCACCCAAAAAAAACTTCTCTTAATTGAAGAAAAACAGCAATCAAAATGAAGAAAAATGGGAACGAAACAGCACTAAAGAAGTTTAACCCTCTTTTCATGCCCAACATTTCTTCAAAATAATAGATTACATCCACGGTTCCATATTTTCGTGTACGTTTTTACACATTCCAAAGAAAAATGACGCATTCGGGAGAGTTTTTTACTCATTCGGAAGATTTTTCGACCTTAAAGTAAAGAAAGTTTTTCTTTGATCCAGAGATGGATTTTTGCTTCAGTGTGACTTTAAATAGCAAAGAAGGGACAGTATTACCACAGAAGTTTTTAGCCAAGGATCCAATGTAAAAAAGAAATACTATCCAAAAAGTAAACCAAAGTACTGTTTTAAAAATTTTTGCCAAAAATAATTTCCCCAAAGAGCCCGATTTGAAATTATTCAAACGAATATATGTGATAGGTGGCATACGCGGTACGGCTGACTCGCGAGTCATTTGTGTACCTGTTGACTCGCCTTCGACTACACCCCGTTGAATCATTCAGAGTTATGCCGGGAGTCATGTTGGTGTAACTAACACATATTTATTTTCACAAACACTTCCAAACGGACTCACGAGTCACACGCACCGTGTATGCCGCCTACAACATCAAAAGCCAATCACGAAAATTTTGTTAAGAATTACAGTACACACTTTCTTCTTTTGTGTCTAGTAGTTTTCTTTTTAAGATTGCTCCAAAAAAATCGTAATAAAGAAAGAAGCCAAAGCAGGTATTTAAAGCACAGAAAAAAATATTATTAAAATGCTATGTTCTCTTTGACGTACGTCAAAGATCAAGTACGAGTGGGACCTTTCATAGTTGCCCATTGATATCTCGGTTATATAGCTTAAGAAATAATGTTTAAAGACATTTTTATCAAAGTTGATAGGTATGACATTTGACCAGTTTTGTTACAGCAATACTCCTACGACCACCGGCAAAAATATTGGCTACAATATGTAATTTTTTTGCCATATATATGTTTTATCGGTCCACTTGCAAAATATTCGCATTCGCAAAAGCTCCGTATTGATTATTGCGAATGCGAATGTTAAAATTAATGCGGAAGCTCAGCGGTTGCGAATGCGAATGCGAATATTCGCAACAACCCTGGTACATATGTAAGTGTATACATACATATGTACATAGTAAGTGCGAACCCAAAATGAAAGTAGCATTGACGTTTCATCAAGTCATCGGCAATTTGATCTATGTTACTTTGAGAAAAACATATTTAGATGAAATTATACGTTTAATAACAGCGCTCCGTATCTACTGGGAAAACTTCTTCTTCTTCATCGCACTTGGCATTACATCCGTTTGTCGGTTTGCGCCGAGACCAAAGAGCATTCTCCATAACTATAACCAAATCATGTGTTGAGAAAAACATATTTAATTGACGTAACCAAACTCTTTTCTCAGTGTATGTCCATGTCGTGCTCATACGGTTCGTCATTCCGTCTTCTCCGATACCCGTCGTCCACGAAAACAGGGCCGTAGATCTTGCGTAGAATAGTTCTCTCGAAAGCCCCCTTCTCATCTTTGTTCGAAATCGTCCAAGTTTCTGCGCCATATAAAAGGACGGGCATGATGAGAGATCTGTATGCAGTTTTTTAGCCCATTCAAATTTAGTATAACAAAGTGCAAGTTTGAGGTGGCTAGCACTTACCATTAATTTTTAGCAATTTTTTTTTTGTTGGAGGTGTCGCTCATTTTCTCCATATAAAATAATGTTTGAAAATTTTTTTATATGGAAAAAATGTGCGACACCTTCAACAAAAAAATTTCGCAAAAATCAAGCTAGCTTACTCGCACTTGCACTTTATTGTACTAAAATTAAATGGGCTAAAAAATTGCATACTCAACTTTTTTCTAGAGAGCATACATAAAGAGTGCAATATTTGAATGAAATTTTGCAGAATTTTCTTTAATTTTGCAAAAGGTTTGGAGCTTTGATTTTTGGGGTTTTTGTTGTAGAATCAATGTAAAATCAATTTGCTGAATCCTAAGCCAATCTCCAGTCATCAACAACATGAAGTACCCTTAAGGAACGGAACGTCCGAACAGCAAATTGAGGCCGCTCTAAAGTGGCTAAGAACCATTTTTGGCAAACATTTTTAATTGCGGACTACGGAGGCTGTTTATGACAAAAAAACTTCTGATCCAGAGCCTACTATAATTTTTATACTGAAAAGAGTGTGTTAAGATGGAATGTCCGAAACCCAGGAAATGCCCATTTATTTAAAAGACTTTAAAATTTCAAGGATATGATTAATCCAAAAAATTAGGGCATTGTCGAACAACATTACAAATTTACTCAGAACCAAATCGCTGGTCCAGCGACGCCGCAATATTTCGCCCAGTAAAACACAACCGAAACGAAGTTCGCATCAACTGAATGACAAACGAAAAATATAAAAATACAAAAGCGAAAATATGAAACCCCAAATTTCGTCAGACGAAATTCGTCGCCGCTTTGGTTGTGTGCAATCTCGTATACTACGATGTGTTCTAATTCTGACACCGAACTTTCTATCGGCGAAGTTCGCTCAGTACAATTTCTTTTGTCCCATTTGCTTCCATATACCCACGATTTATTTTAATATGGAAGAAAACCGTAACATCTTCGGAAAAAAAGAATTCTAAAAAATCAACGCTAATTGTTAGCCATTTGAAACTTGTGCCTTATTCTAATAGAATCAAATGTGCTATAAAACTGTATACTCAAAATCTTCCTCGGAAATCCAATGAAAAAAGCTCGAGATTTTTACGAAAGTTTGTTCAATTTTTTTTTATCTTACACAAAGTTTGAAACCTTTGATTTACACGAGCTTTGTTAAAGAACTATGCGTCGATTATCAAACACCGAAGTTTAAAAAAAGAATTTAATTTAAAATGGTTTCGCGAGTGTATAGATTTTTTGTGAATAAAAATTACTGCCATACGGTGTTTTCTAAATTATCTCTTTTACATATCCCCCATTTCAGGCGTATTTACTTAACATACCTTCATGGGACTGGAAACAGGGTGATGACGTCATTTGCTTAGCCGAACTTAAACTTGGTTTTATAGCGCAGAGTTGTTTGGCGCCAGGCTTCTCAACAATGATGGCCAATTTGTTTGCGATGCGATCGTTTAAGACTGTAAGTATTCGCAGTAACACAACTTAAGTAGCGACTTAACTTTAAAATAACGGCCAATAAAAAGCAATATGAACCTTTTGTATTAAAATTGTCTATGTGTAGAGAACTAAACCTTCAAGTCTGGCAGCAATCAAATATTGTCATACAAGTTTATTGTACTTTGCTAAGCCGCAGTACAGTTAAATTCCTCGGACAAGCCGAATTTACAATAACCTCTATCTCATTCATTTGGCAGTCATGCGCTGTCAAAATAGTCTGATCTTGTGAAAAAATAAAAACTTTACACATTTTATGTTACAGATTTTTTGATTTCAAACCTCCTTATGAACAATTCAACGCATTTTTTTTTTGTGTGTTATATACTAAGTAACATTCAAAGTATTTTAATCCACTACCTATATATGTACCTGTAGTCACCAGACATGCAGTCTTGGACCAATGATTATCTGCGCGGTACCGGCATGGAAATGTACACAGAAACTTTGAGTCCCACATTTATTGGAATACCATTTGCTCAGGCCACTGAGTAAGTTTTCGAACGCAGGCATTGGCGTGTGTCTATCAAACAACTTGCCTTCATAAAAATACAAATACATTCTCAGCTATTCGTTAAACAGTATCTCTATCGTATGATACAATGTTATTTCAACAAATAAAATTAAACTTTTAATTTTATTTATTGACACATTTACATACAAATAAATATTTATTTCTTATTGGCTTTATTCCTTATTTATTTTTGATACACTTTCAAATAATATTTATCTACAAACAAACAAAAATGCGCACCTCTTTTCGCACCCTGCAGATAAATTCTGAACTGCATATTTATGTATATGCATACTAGGGCTGTGCGATTAATTGATTACTCAAAATTTAAATTAATCATAAAGTAAATAACTCAATTATTCGATTAATTGGAAATTATGATTACTCAAAAGTTCAGTTACTCGAGTAATCAAGATTTTTGATTAACCAAAAACAAAAATATTTGAGTAATTTGCTTTATGATTAATCAACATTTCGAGTAAAATGAGTAATCAACATTTCAACTCTTCA